ACCAATTTCTGCTGTGTGCTGGAATAAGGGGAGAAAATTTGGTCAGAAGAGCAGTCAGAAGACAGTTCCTTATTGCCATTAATCATTTCAGCCTTCCTTGAAAAGTCAGAGGGAGTGCTAGGCTATCTGACATGAAGAATTTGGCAACTTTGCAGGAAAGTGTGGGGGGGAGTTGGCTATGGGAATTAATAATTTACCTCAGAAGAGAATAAGGAAGGGCTATTTGTATTAGATAAGGACATAAAGTTCCAAAAGCGAAGTCATCTGGACCAGAGAATAGATAAAAAAAGATAACAAGAGTTGGGACAACATCAAGTCATTTCAGATGGGAGATCTTCTATTGAAATGTGCAACAGGACCACAGTAGAGATCCTGAGAGGCAACCTATATCCTATTCTCCAGACAGATAAGGAAGGCATATACACAAATATGTGCCAGATGCATCCAGTACTTGCAGGAAATATAGTAATAACAGTTGTTTTGTCCAGCTAGTATTAGCTGTCCAACCAACACTCTTGGACATAGGGAGTGCATTTGGGTGACTCTAATACAGGCTTCTGGGGTGGGTACATGTTCTGATGTATATATTCAGTTAGGCTGGTGGTAGGACAATCCCATAACCTAATCTCAACTAAGGAGAATTAGCCTTCAAAGTTGTCCTGAAACTTCTGGGAAGTCAGTTACACAGTGCTCCCCACTATCAGTTTCCTAGCCTGTGTTGGGTCAAATGGGAGATAAATTGTGTTGCCATATTTGTGGCTGTGCAGCTGTGACTGCTCAACACAGGCACTTAGTTAATATTTATAAAACAAACAGACAAAATTTGGGCCTGGAGGATAGTTAAGTTGGTAAAGTGCTTACAAGCATGAAGACCCACGTTCAATTTACAAAACACGGTGGTACATGCTTGTAATTCCAGTGCTGGGGAAGTAAAGACAGCAGGATCTCTGAGGCTCAGTGGCCAGCCGGTATAGCTTACTTGGTGAGTTCCAGGCTAATGAGTGACTGTGTCTTAAAAAAACATTCTAGACTTGGGCATTGGTGACGCACACCTTTAGTCCCAGCACTCAGGAGGCAGAGGCAGGCAAATGGATCTCTGTGAGTTTGAGGCCACCATGGTCTACAGACCTATCCCAGGACAGTCTCCAAAGCAATACAGAGAAACTCTGAAAAAAAAAACAATCAACCAACCAACCAAACAAAACAATAACAACAAAACCAAGGTGGGAACCACTGGATAAAGCCACTAATCCTGGTGACCTGAGTCTGATCCATGGGAAGACCCATATGGTGGAAGGACAGACCACATTCTCACAAGTTGTCCTCTGACCTACATCTACACACACACACACACACACACACACACACACACACAAGAACACATATACATGTATAAACAAAAAGATAATTGTTCAATTGTCTGGGTGGCACAGGAGTGTCTCTGTCCTTCCAGCATCATTGTAAGCACATTCAGTGAGAATCTGATTCACCTGGGAGTAAGTTGCAACTCATCTGTTCCTAACCTCTAGGTGCCCATTATCTTCTTTTCCTTTCTTTCTTTCTTTCTTTCTTTCTTTCTTTCTTTCTTTCTTTCTTTCTTTCTTTCTTTTTTTGTACATTAACAATAATGACTAGACTTTCCAGGGTTGTGGAAACCATTTAAGTAATTTGTTTAAAAGTAAAATCTTTTTTTTTTCCTTCAAGACAGGGTTTCTCTGTATTGCTTTGGAGGCTGTCCTGAAACTAGCTCTGTAATCCAGGCTGGACTTGAACTCACAGAGATCTGCCTGCTATCGTGGTTTAATAAGAATCAGGATAAACAAATAGGCCAAACAGATAGCTCATAACAGCCTGCCTCTGCCTCCCCAGTGCTGGGATCAAGGGGTGTGCCACCACCAACCAGGTTTAAAACTAAAATCTGGAAGAATAAGTTGAAACTTGCTTGATCTCCATTAGGAGCCTTATAAGCGCACCGGCAATGCTGTTGTGCTATTATTGTCTATTCTTTGAGATTTTTGAAATTTTTCATAATAGAAGATTCAAGAGACAAAGATATATCCGATAACATATTTGTGGATTTGCATCATTACATAATTTGTCAAAACTCAAAGATGTGGGCCTTTGACATGGCTCAGTGGGTAAAGGCACTTGCTGCAAAGCCTAAGGTCTGAGTTTGATTCCTCGGACTCACATGGTGGAAGAAAAGAACCAATTCTTGAAAGATGTCCTCTGACTTCTGCACATGACCACACATATACACACAAAATAAATACATGTAAAAATATTTTAAAAATACAAGCATAAAAGAATGTATAGTACCCAGGGTAAACCTAATGTACAAAAATATAGGTTCACTGATTGTAACCAACAGGAATCCGATGGTTACAGTTTCTATAATTTTCCCTCAGTTTTTCTATGAACCTAAAATGGCTCAAAAGAAAGAAAGAAAGAAAGGGTCAATAGTAATGCAATTTTCTTTTTGGCGGTGCTGGGGATAGAACAAAAGACTACTGAAGCCCCAGAATATTCTTCATATAATTGTTTGGTACAGGGGCTGGAGAGATGTTAAGTCTATAAAGTACTTGCTGTGCAAGCATGAGGACCTGAGTTTGAGCCCCACAATCCACATACAACAAAAAGGCAGGTGTAGGGGCAGTACTAGGGAGGCAGACATAGGTGGATTCCTGTAGCTTACTGGCCAGTGTGCCTTGCCTAATTCTGAGTCCCAGGCCATTTGAGCAAACAAATAAATAAAAGCTGTGGAATGTGGTGGCCCAGGCCTTTCATCCCAGAACTTGGGGGACAAAACAAGCAGATCTTTGTGAGTTTCAGGCCAGCCAGGGCTACATAGTGAGACCCTTCTCAAAACAACAAAACAAGTAACTAATGCTAGGCCTGGTGGAATCTGATATAAATGGAGGTTTCTCATTTCCACCCACCAGTTCTCAAAAACAAAACACTCTAAGGCTTAATATTAATTATAATTGTCTGGCCAAGGGCTGGCGGGATAACTCAGCCATTAAAGGCTAGGCTCACAATCATAAATAATTGTCTGGCCAATGGCTTAGGCATATTACTAACTAGCTTTCACAATTACATTAACCTATTTATATTCTATATTTTACCATGAGGCTAATGGCTTGTTACCTCACATCTTGCTACATGGCATCTTCCTGACTCTGCCTTCTTTCTCTTCATAACTTTGGATTTTCTGCAAGGCTCTATTCTGCCTGGCCATTGGCCAAATCAGCTTTATGCATCAACCAATAAAAGCAACACATGTTTGTAGCATACAGAAGCACATCTCACATCATCTCCCCTTTTATGTCTAAGAAAAAAAGAAAGGTTTTAATTTTAACATAATAACATTACACATAACAAGACAGTTATCAAGCAAGAATTACAGTTACAATATTTAGTCTATTTTTATTTGGCAAAATTAAAGAAGATACTCTATCATCTATCTTTGTGAGTCTAAAGTTTTATATTTATCACAACTAAGGAAAACTATAATATAATATTAGGTAAGTAAACTGGAAGTGCAACTTTCAAAACTCTAGAAATGATAGAGATATCTGGTTGCCTGAGTGAGATAACCCAGTCACAGAAAGACAAGCATGAACCTTCATCTAGTAGCTGATGGAAGCAGAAGCAGACACCCACAGCTAAACACTGAGCCGAACTCCTGGAATACAGTTGCAGAGAGGGAGGGGTGATGAGCAAAGGGGTCAAGACTGTGCTGGTGAAACCCACAGAGACTGCTGACTTGACCTAGTGAGAGTACAGGGACCCCTAGTCATAAAGCTGTGAAACCGGTTCTATAGCTAACAATGTGGCTGGCTTTGCGATCTGATACTTCAGACAATCTTTATTAAATCATAAATAATATATCACTACACAAACCCAAACCAAATAAAGAACCCAAGGTAGACAGCATCTGAGGAACACACAAGATTGACTTCTGGCCTTCATATGCATATACATGCACCCATAAGAACACACACAGAGTGTTTGATATATACTTAGAGAGGGTGTTAGTTGCTATCATTACTATATCTGAAACAAGGAGCTGATTCCTGCTGACTTTCTTGCTTGACCCTTTTAGTCTGGGATACACAACCCTCTTTTCCTGGCATGCCTCTCCTTCTGGGTACCCCACATTTGCCACTGAACACTTCCATTCCTTTTCCTCTTTCCTTTTTCTCTCTTAATATTTACTTAGTGTATGTGCATGTATGTGCTTACTCATGGTTAGAGGACAATTTCTAAGAGTTGGTTCTTTCCTTCTGTCACAGGCTGTGGGGATTACCCAGTTTGTCAGCAAGTGCCTTTATCCAATTGAACCACCACACAGAACCCCCCTTTTTGTATGCATCACCTCATGTAACCCAGACTGTCTTGGGCTTGATTTTAACTTTTGATCCTCCCACCTCATTCCTCTTCCTAAGCATTGGAATAATAGATGCATAATACTACACCCAGCCCTACTCTCATTTCTTAAGGCCTGGTTTGCTCTCAGCATTTTTTTTTCTGAGACTCAGTAGTTAACACCAATGCATTTAAGTCTTGGAAAGCAGGTTGCCACAATAGGACTTCTAAATTTATCACCCCTGGTATGACCACTTTATGGACTCCTCAAATTACTATGCCTTGATATCTCCCATCTATGAAGTCCAAGTTTTGTTCACTCTATTCTGGAACCAGGTTCCAGAACTGCACTCCTGGAGTTTATATTTGAGTGTCTGTACGGTTTTTAATCCCCATCTTTCTCCCTATAGGCTCACACTGTTCTAGTAAGAGTTGGTGAGCTTCTCTGGGGTCAGGACTACAGAGCCATCTCTCTAATCAAGGCCATGAGTGATGCCAGTTGGGAAGCCACTCTGCCTCTTATCTGAGTTACATTTGAGCTGCAGGGCCTGTTGACAAAGGATGTCTGCAAAATGTTGGTTCATCCTCTGGGACTCATCTGTCCCCTTCACACACAAAGGACAACACCACCCTTGACTTTCCACTGATGACAACATCTGAATGCATTTTATTCCACTGCAATTGATTAGTTTATTAACAAACATGTCATTTAGAAGGTGATCCCTCTGACAAACTGCATATTGCCATATACTTTGTGAGGAACTTTGATTGTATTCCAGCTACTTGGGCACTAAAGGCCAGTCTTCCACTCAGGTTTATAGAAGTGATCTGATTAAACTCTTGATATGGTGTATTTAAAAAGGATCACACTGAAAACTGGGTTGGATGGCAGTGCAGTGCCTCTGGGAGGGAAAGGTTCTGGAAGATGTCCCAACCTACCCACTGGCTGCTCCAGTGAAAGGAGCAAGCACTTGAAGACCCTTGCCTCTGGGGTCACTCAAGAAATAGAAGATGACACAGGAGGGGCAGAGGAAGGGGCTGGGTAGAACTGACTGTGGGATCAACTTTAGGAAAACAGGGACACAACTACCTAAGCTCCATGACAAAGCAAAATGGGCCAGCTCTGCAGCCCCCATCACCTTGAGGCCACTTTTGAGCCCTGATGTGTTGGGGTGGGGGAGCCTCATGCCTGGGCATGGGACAAGGCTTCCACCCTACATTGGTACCATGCTGCTTCCTTCAGTCTGGTCCCAGAGCTCTGTTGTGCTAGCCCGCCATGCTCCTTCGAGGGATACAGCCTTCCATCTCCAGGGCCTCTGGCCAGCCCTCATACTTGTTGGTGTGCTTACTGTTCTTCACATGCTGTAGGGATTAACAGGAAATTATGACCTGGCCCTCAGTGGCCAACCACCAGGGAATTCTCCAATCTGTTGCTCTTCTCTTTATGCAGGGAAAATAGGGGACGGCTACAGTGGTCTATTCTCTCACACAAGTGAACTTGGGATGGGCAACAGACCTAATGTACACCAGGATGGTGAGCACTGTGGACAGGAGGGATTCCATGTGGCCCTGGCTTCAGGGAAATGCTGGAAGCTGCTGCCCAAGTTTGGGGCAAAGGGTTTGGAGGGCATGAACTTGAGTTGTTGGGAAACTGGGTTGTGACAAGGTAGGAATGGTAGTGAGCATCCTATTTTCCCTTTAAATCTGAGACAGTATCTCATGTAGCCCAGACTGTCCTCATATTTTCTATATGGGCAAGGATAATCTTGAATTTCTGATTTTCTTGCATTTACCTCCACAGTGTTGGTATTACAGGTGTATCCCCATGCCCAATTTTATTAAATGCAAAGTATTGAATGCAGGGCCTCATGTGTGCTAGTCAATCACCCACCATAAATGAGCTACATCCTTTAACTGAGTATCCTGAAGATGTATGTGAAGATTTCTTAGTTATAAGTCTGACCAATGTGCAATCTGACTTTTAAAGTCTTTTTAGGTCAAAATACATACAGTACAGGGAATGTCAAAGTTACTGTCTCTCTCTATGGTAAGAACAAGGGGGCAAGGCTAACCAGGACACAGGTCAGAGACAGGGTTCAGGGCCCTGATGGACAGAATTCAGGGAAGCTTTGGTGTAAAGAGAAGGAGGACCCAGGTTGCCAGGACTAGGAGGCAGAAGTGCCAGGTTCTCTGCTGTACCTGCTCAAAGGGGCTCTTGTTCTGCACACCCTTGGCTCCCACAAACACCCAGCTGTCACGGAAGGCTAGCTCCTTGGCATTCCTGCTGCCCAGCTCAGAAAAAAGCTTCCTGGTCTCTTCATTCATCCTGTCACACATTAGGAAGAAATGTGAACTGGTGACTGTTAACTGTATTGGAACAACACTGAAGCTGGATTTGGCATTCACTTACTTTGTAGCTGGATCATCATATGATGCCACAAACACTAGGGTACCTTCATGCAGTGGCCGGATGAACTTCAAGAGATCATTGACATCTGGTGGAGATGGGCCCACAGAACATGGAGCTTCAGGTTCCACTGAGAAGCCCTTCCCCACCAAACAATATTCTTCTAATGAGGAAAACAGTGTAGGGACTGGGCAAGGGCTGTTCCACATCAAGGGCCACTAGTATGAACACAGACAAACTGATAAAGAAGCTAGGGCCACCTGGTCACAAAACATAGACTCCAGACAGAGATCCTACACCCCCTACATTTTGTGAACCCAAAGCTATACTTGAATAGCCGAGTGCAAAGACATAGAAGGCAGGGCTTCAGGGAAAAATGTATAATAGAATGCTGTGGTAGCCACTCACCTCCAGCCCACATATCAAAGGCTCTGGCTTCCAAGAGCTCACCACTGACCCCTGTGTCAATAAGAGGAAGATCTGCTAAGCAAACTGTCTGGGTCATGCCACCTTTCTGCTTTAGCCCCTAGCCCAGGCTCAAACATAGGTTTCAGCCCTTCCAGAAGCTTCAAATATGCTGTCATTCTGTCATTTACAGAGCTGCAGCCCATGGAGCCTCTGGCATAAGGCCCTATGCATCTGCCACTAGTATCATGTTTTTGTTAACTGGGTGACTTCCTTTGTGGAGCTTTTGGCTGGCATAGACTTTCCCCCAAGCCTCCCTGGGAGTGCCCAGAAGCTATCTGCACCTGTAGAAGGTGTAATGAAGTGGAGGGGGCAGGCCATACCATGATATCTGCTCCTATGGACTGAATTCTGACCCTACAACATGGGGAACTCACCATTCACCAGGGCGATGTTCAGCCCACGGCCCACATTGTCCTTGACGCTGCTCATGAGCCTAGCAGGAGGGGCAGAAGATCCCTTGTGGGCATATCAGATTTCTCTTTCTCACACAGCCCTTAGCCCTTGGCCCTTGAAGACCTAAAGTTCCCCTCCCACTTCCCAGTCCAGGTGCTCACATCTTGTCCTCGAGGCAGATCTTGGGCCCGATGACATTGGCAGCCCCGCTGACCATGCGAAAGGCTAGGTGCTCCTCAGGACATGGCTGGGGCAGGCCGCACTTGTACTTCCTGGCCCTTGGTTCTGAGTAATGATAGCAGAAGTGACCCATGTGCCTGGCCCTGATGTTACCTGAGATCTGAGGGTGGAGGTCAGGACCAGCCACAGGACTGAAGGAGTAGCCACAGAGCATGGAACTGGGAAAGGCGGTGGGTGGGGATCAGGCCAAAGGTGGGGATGCTTCCAAGTGGTATGTTGGCAAGGGAGTAGGAACTGCAAGAATGAGGATTTTTGCTACTGGTAGGAAAAGGGAAAGGAGGTTGAGAGCTGGCTTAGAACCCTTATACAACCAGAAACAAGCAGAGGTCCAGAAAGTTAGGGTGGGAATTCAATGGATGAGGCACACAGTCAGACTAAAGTAGATGAGCTGAGGTGGGTGGGTGGAACATGGGAGTTCTGCTAGCCTCTGGATTTCTTCAGGGTGAGGGTGGGGATGACCTCTGTAATGGCTTGAATTATGACTACAAAAATATAATGGAGTCTGAATTCCTAATTCCTCAGAATGTGGTCTTGCTGGGAAACAGGGTCTTTATAGGCAGATAAGTTATGATGAAGTCGTACTGGACTATGTTGAGCCCTTAATGCAGTATGACTGATATCCTTATGAGAAGAGAAGTTATAAAATCACATAGAAGAAGATGCTGTGAGACAGTACAGGCAGAAGGTAGATTGGTGCACCTATAAAATGAGGCACATAGATGGCTTCTAGGATCTGCAGAGGCACAGAAAGACTTTACCTGGAATTTTCAGTCAGCACAGCCCGCTGACACCTTCATTCATACTCTTGACTTCCAGAATTGTAAAAAAGTAAATTTTGGTTGTTTAAGGCACTACTTTTCTTAGGGTAGCTTCAGGAAGCTAATATAGGTTTTGGTGCCAGGAATTGGGGGTTTATATAAACAAATACCACAAATATCAAATACCTAAGAATATGGAAATGGATTTGGAACTGGGTAGAGTGGACAAAGGATGCAGAGCTCTGAGGTATATATTGTACTGCTTAAAGACAAAAAAACAAAACAAACAAACAAACAAACAAAAAAAACCTGTTGGTAGGAATACAGATTGAAGCCAGGTATGCTACTGAAATCTGCAATCCCAGCACTTGGAAGGCTGAAGTAGGAGAATCATGATTATAAGGTTATCATGGGCTACATAGTCTCTGTTGTAAAACAAGTTTAACAATATGGATAGTAAACACAGTTCTGGTGCAAGCTCAGAAAGAAGAGAGCAATAGAGAAAGATTCTTTTGTTGAATGTTTCACTTACATTAACATAAACAAAGTGTTGTTAGGAACATGAGTATTATAGCTCTTTTGGTGAGACCTTAGAAGGAAGTTGAAGAAGCCATTATTGGGTACCGGAGGAAAGGCCATAGAAGATAACAAGCGGTGTCAAAGGTATAGCCTGTTTTTTATTTGTTGCGTCTCATGGTAAAATGAGATCAGACAGAGAAGTTGGGGGAAAGAACCATCAGTCATAAAGGAGCTAGAGCATAAAGATCGAAAACAAATCCTAGTACTTGGGAGATAGAGGCAGGAAGATTAGGAATTTAAGACTATTTTTTGGCTACATAGTGAGGTTAATGGTAGCCTGGGATTCATTAAAGCCCTCTCACAAAAGAAAGGAGGGAAGAAAGAAAATATTAGCCTAATTTAAAAAAACTGATAAAGCAGTTTAAAACTGTAATCCCAGTATTTGATACGGTAACACAGGAAGATCACTAAGAGTTTGAGAGCTACATAGTAAGTTCAAGGCCAGTCCATGCTATAGAGTGAAACTCTATCAAAAAAATCTGAACTATTTTATGGGCTAGGAAAATAGCTCAGTGTAGAATATTTGTTCAGTATGGATGAGATCTTAGGTTCAATTAGAGAGAGCACAAAGACAATGGCTGGCTTAGGATTTACTAAGGAAAGGAAGTGTGTGATTGTGGTTATGCTTCCACCTCTCAGAAGCCTGGACTTAAAATGGGATTATACAGGAAGATCTGTGGAGGAATCTTTTGTGTTATAACCTGGGCTCTCATGAATCACATGAGAGGCTAGCAAACTGTCAGCCTATGAAAAGGACAGAGGTGAGAAGAATACAAGGATGGAAGGAAGAAAGGAGGGAAAGACAGAAGGAAGAAAAGAAACAGGGAAGGAAGAAAGTAAAGAAGGGAGATTATGAATATAGAGCTGGAAATGAAGAGGTCAAAGAGTGCCCAAGAGCAAAGTGACCCCAGAGGATGGGGTCACTTTAGCGGGCCTACAAGCAAAGTATGTGAACATAGACATTTCTTTTTAAGCCTTGAAATCTAGAAGAATTGCCCTGCTATGTTTGGGATTTGCTTAGGACCATGAATGCCTCCCTCTTTCCCAATGTTGTCCATTTGGAATAGGAATGTTTTTTCCTATGCCTGCCCCTCTCACCTTCTGATAGTGGGTAACTTTACTAAGTTCATAGCACAGAAGGCATGATAGCTAGTGGGGAGAGGGCCAGATGGACAACAGTATTCCTGGTGGGCTGGCTGGCAGTAGGCAGGTATATCACAAAAGGCAGTATGAAGTGCAGGCACAGGACAGGATAGGAAAGGGACAAGAAGCTTACCTGCAGTCACTGAGTTCTCTGGACCTGTGGATACAGAGAGTTGTTTCTGTTAGCATCAAGGCCTCCAGGAGCCTACAGCAGAGCAGCTAGAATCACGACTTGGGGCCAAGTCAGGTTATACTTGGCATGCTGCCTGCTCAAGTCTCAATGATGCCCTGATATAAAATTGCCTGCTCCAGGTAAAGGATGAATTGGAATTGTAAATACTGCTTAGGTGACTTGGCACAAGTGACAAGACGTAGAGTCCTTTTTGTATCTCAGAGCCCAGCAGAAAGTCCACAATGATCAACTGTTCAGTGGAGGCCTTTCCACCTTACTCTCACTCTATCAACTTCTACTCAATATTGGATTGCAATTAGGGTGTGTTGCTCTCAGATCAGTTGGTAGGGACAACAAGGCAGCAAAAAGCCTGTTAAGAAGGGGATGGAAAACCCAGCCATCACACCCATATTGAACACCTCTACAGTGAGGCAAGAGGGTTCCCACACTCACTGGTGAAGAATTGTTGAATTCGAGGAAGGCCACCACCAGGACCACCCAGGAGGATGGTGACTAGGATCCAGGTGAGACCCATCATGATGATTAGTGCCACGATGCGAAGGGGGCCTACAGGCAGGACAGATACAAGGCAGGTCCATCTCAGACACCAGTGAAGAAACACAGCAACAACACACCGCTTCACATGACCAGATCTCCCCTTCTATACATGATGGCAAGATTGGAAGGTGGGAGAAACATTGCTACCCACCAGACCCAAGAGGGAGACTTGAACTTACTCCTGGTGGAGGGAAAAAAGTGAGTTTAAATGTTGAGGTTACTGTTTTTGGCTCTCCCCAGCAGGTTTGGAGGGACTTTCAGAACTCATTCTCTGGACAGGTTCCATAGCACCAACCTCAGCATCTTGCCTCTGAAACTGTCTTTCCTTTTGTCTTATTCTGAAGGAAGATCTATACTCCTTTTGAAGACCAGTCCATCTATTTGCTTCAAGATCCATCAATTTCCTCTCATGTCTCAGGTATGTTGTGTTAAGGCTCCTTCTATTTCACTTTCATATTATTAACAGGTCCTAACTTAATAACCTAAAGATGAAACAGAGCTCCTGCAAGAAAAATCTCATTCTGTCTCCTCACCTTCCACTTCCCCACTAAACTTTTAAAACTTTATACTCTGACTGGGGATATAGATCTGCGGTAGACCCTGGGAGATTATTTTTTTTTTGAGACAGGGTTTCTCTGTATTGCTTTGGAGGCTGTACTGGAACTCTCTCTGTAGACCAGGCTGGACTCAAACTCCGCCTGCGTCTGCCTCCCGGGTGCTGGCTTTATGGGAGATTTTGTCTATCACAGTTATCATGTTGATTACCATGCAGCAATGAAACTTTATTTTCTGGCTCCAGTCCCGATCAATCTTGGACACACATCCTCCCCATTAGTTCCTTCTTGTCCTTACTAGGATTTATTTATAAAGTTGCTACCTTACCAGTTCTTGAATTCTACTCTTACCCCAATCAGTCCCCTCCACGAACCATTTTAATCCCCACAAGGTATCTTCATTTTAGTAGTCCAGCTGACATCAGTCACGCCCCTCTGTCTCTACACCCCTCCCCACCCAGCCACTAGGCTGGCTGGAATATTTTTCTCACAAGTCATTTTCCAAAAAGCAGCTGGCCTATTATTTGAGTTGGATGCAATTGACTATATATTAATCCTTAACTAATAGTTTAGTTCTCAGAGGAGAAAGAATTTGCTGATAGAATGAGTGTTTGTGAAGTCACCCATTAATAAATAGCAAGCCAGTGACTGACTACCTGGGCCCCTCCTGACACAACCACTAGGATGTCTGGACTCTCTTCCATTCGCTGTGGAAGCCACCCACCTGCCAACCTCATGTCCACTTCTCCCGCTGTGTTGGTACCTCCGGCAGGTGCACTGTTTGGGGACCGTGAGCTCTGAGAGGAATGAAGCAGGAGAGTAGGTTGGATGGTGGGGTAGGGGCAAGGCTGTGCTGGCCACGATTGGCGCTACAACTTGTTCCTCCAGACACTAGACCAGGCTAAGTTCCCCGTGAACTTGGGAGAAGCACTGGCCTTGGAAACGCGTCGCGGCTCTGTCTGGATAACAGAAGCCTCCAGGACTGGAACGTAGCAATTATTCTCCCTGACCCAGGCCCCTCCCGTGCTAGGCCTGGGGATCGGGTCGGTCCTCTCGAAGCTGCTGGAAGAGATCCAGCGGGCCAATGACGTTGCTTGTGTGTAGGGAGACGCAGATCAGATCAGGGAGTTTTCCAGTGGTCTCGCTCTGCCAGCGAGGTAAAGCAAACAAGTCACGTAGAGAAGCTTGGCCGGCTCGACAATGGCGGCCCAGTGAGGGCCACGGCCCACAGGCGTTGCTCCGCCATAAGCCCATAAGCTACGCTGTGGGGCCTCAAGTCCTCACGCAGGCTCCACCTCCAGACCCGCCTCCCCCCTTTTCTCCAGAGGTTGGGTGGGAGGTGCTTAGAGAGGCTATTTCGCTGTGGCTTGTGCTCAAGCTGAGCCACCTACCTTCCTGGAAAGAGCCTGAGTTGTTGCTGCCAGATGAATCTCCTTCTATATATTTTTTAAAGATAGGATCACACCCTGTAGTTCATGCTGACATCACAGGAATACACCAACATAGCTAGCTCCCCCGCTGCCTCTGCACACTCTCTTTGTTGGGAGATCTATTTCTACGTTTGGTGAGCTGAAGCTCTGTTGTGACTTTAGATCAGAGCTCTCATGGCTGGTAAGAGGAGGGATCTAGGGACATAGATAATGATACAAGTTTGACATGTGTTATTTTAAGAACATGGAAAGTCCAGAAGCACATGTGGAAGTAAAGTGAATCCTGAGTCCCACAGGGTGAGCCTTTGGTTGCTTTCTTTCTGCTCTGTTTCTCCCCCAGAGAATCTTCTTTCTATTTTATGTATCACTCAGTGAGGAGATGTCTAGAATGTAACCCTCGAACCGCATGCTTGAGCTTTCTGTCTCAACCACCTACAGTGTCAGGGCAGCTGAGACAGTACTTTCAGCTTGATTCATCTGTCTCCTCATGCAGCAGCTGGACAGAAGTATAGCAGCATTCTTGTTACAGAAACTCCACCCGACTTAAGTAATGCTCCAAAATATAGAAAAAGTTTATAGAAACACTATTCTGGTTAGAACATAACATTTTCAATTTTGGTACACCTGTAATCTCAGCACTTGGGAGGTGGAGGAGTTTAAGACATCCTCAGCCATTTATCAAGTTCTAATATAGCCTGAGCCTGATATTCATTATATCTTGTTTCAAAAGGAAAAAAAAATGGTAAGGGAGAGATGGCTCAGTGGTTAAGAGCACTGGCTACTCTTCCAGACATCCTGAGTTCAATTCCCAGCAACCATATGCTGGCTCACAATCATCTGAAATGAGATCTGGTGCCCCTTCTGGCTTTCAGGGACACATGCAGACAGACCACTGTATGACTAACTAACTAACTAACTAACCAACTCAGTGTCAAGCATTTGAAAAAAAATGGTGGGAATGGAATCAGATGTGCTAGTTTGTTCTTGTAATCTCTGCATTTGGGAGGCAGAAACAGAAATAACAGGCCAATACCAGCTAAAAGTGAGTTTGTGGTCAGCCCGAACTGCATGAAAACCTATCTTTAAAAAACTGTTCCATGGAGGTGGCACATGCCTTTAATTCCATGATATTGTGTTTATACTCTAACCAATAAAATTTGCCTGAAGGTCAGAGGGTAGAGCTAACCACTAGTTAGCCATAGAGGTCTGGAGGTCTGGGTAGATAGCTGGGTAGACAGAGGAATATAGGCAGGAGACAGGAGCTCAGTCTCTTTTCAGCCTGAGGACTTCAGAGATAAGAGCTCTGTGGCAGGCTGCTCTGCTTCTCTGATCTTTCAGTTTTCACTCCCTAATATCAGACTCTGGGCTGTTATTATTAAAACTTATTAGAATTCTTGTAAAACATATTGGTTCCCTGATGGGAGATGCCATTCTGTAAATATGTTTCTCATACTGGTTAATGAATAAAGCACTGTTGGCCAATAGGAAAGGAAGATAGGAGGGACTAGGAGACAAGGAGGATTCTGAGAGTTGTAGTAGAGGAGTCAAGGTGTAGGACATGAGAGAATAGGTCCTGACCCTCTCTCTGGTAAGACTAGACCACGCGGAAACACTTATATTAATAGAAATGGGTTAATATTTAAGACAGAGCTAGACGATAAGAGATGCTAGTAACAGGCCAACACCTTTATATCTAATACAGTGTGTTATTTGGGGCTGATGTGTTAGTGGGACCAGGCTGGCAGGAGACTGCTCGTAACAGTGCCCAACTTAAAGGCATGCATTCCTGAAAATTTGTTTCCCCTGGAGTCACCACCCTGCCTGGCTAGGTTTTCTTTTATTTTTCCCCAAGCCTCTGAGAAAGTTAGGAATTTTCCTGTTGTAGCCTCTCTAAAATAGTTTCCAGTTTCCACCCAAATTTCAGAGAAACCTGTTTTCAAATGCCACAGAATTTACCTGCCCTAGTCTGTCTGGCTCTGCCTTCAAGCAGCTCCCACCACATATGCTTCTTCTGCACAATTCCATGTGTGTTTTTTAGACAGCTGCTCCCCTCACCCTCTATGGATTGCAGGCTTTCCCTAGACCCTCTCTCCTCAGGCTGCCACTCTCAGCTGATGGCTACATGCTAGCAGCTGTGGCTGTCCTCAGCCAGGCTGTACACTGCCTGTGTTCTCTGATCAGACATGCTATGCAGTTTTAAATTCCAGCATCTTCCTCAGCAGATTTGGTAAGATAATTGAGAATTATTAAATGGGAGAATTAGTTAGAGAGAGAGAGTTTCCCCCATATTAAATAATAGGAAACAGTATTACAATGGAGGGATTTAGGTCTCTGTATGATAATATGATGGACAATTTGAAAATGGAGCAATTAAATGTGATGATAACTAATTTAGATGGGACTTATGTAATGTCAATTATAAACATTATCAGTTTTATCATTTTTGTCTTATCACTAAAAATGGTTAATATTAGTGCTAATATGCAAGTTTTAGAAATCTTAATAAAACAGATCATAAGAGATATTCAGACCTAGACAGAGGAATTTAATGGAAAAACAATTTCATCATTGCATTACAAGGTTAGAGAGGAACAGCCTAAGGTTTTCAAACAACCAAATTTAAATTATCCAGTCACCTTACAGGAACTGCCAAATAACAGATATCCCCAAGGCTATATAAGAATTAAATGGACTCCTGTGGAAATGTTAGTTATAAGGAGATTCAGGTAATAGTCTCATATGGCATGCATGTATTCACTTTTTGTGAAGCAGATGTTAAACTCATGGTCAACTTGTAATAGAATTATCTCTAGAGACTGGAGAAACTTGGTTAAAGTGGTTTTAGAGCCTGATCCTCAATTGCAATGGAATACTTTTTGGAAGGATGAAGCTAATATCTTAGAATGGAATGGATTTTTTTTTACCATATAAACAGAGTAAAAAATTAAAAACTTATGTGTAAAAGATCCCTGAGAAGTTGATTCTGAAAGGAAAATTGAGACTTCATCAACTAGCAGGAATAGACACAGCAGAAATTGTAGTACCTTTTACTAATAGTGAAATTGCCTCTTTATGGGCAGAAAGTGGACCTTGGCAAAGAGTTTGCAGTAATCCTTTGGGAGAGATTAACAACAATTATCCCAAAAGCAAGAGAATTAAATTTATAAAAAGAACTAACTAGATCATTCCTTGCATTGTATGGGGAACACCAATATCTGGAGACCCTATATTCTATAATGATGCAAATAAATCTGGAAAGGGAGGTTACAAATCAGAAAATTTAAGTGACTCAAAACCCTTATGATTCTGTCCAAAAGTCAGACTTATATGTAATTCTCATGGTGTTAATGGACTTTATGGAATCTCTCATCAGCATAGTCACTGATATGCAATATGCAAAAAGAGTTGCTTTACATATTGAAACTGCTGAATTTATACCAGATATATAGAACTAACTGAATTTATTGTTTATTCAGTTACAAGAAATAATCAGGAATAGGAATCATCATATAGAAAACAAACATACAATCCCATATGGATCTGCCAGGCCCTCTAGCACAAGGTAATGATGAAATTGATCATCTATTGATAAGAAATATGCTGGAGGCCTTATAATTTCATTAAAAAAATATTATGTAAGGGCTGAAGAGATGGCTCAGAGGTTAAGACTTAGAACTGACTGCTCTTCCAGAGGTCCTGAGTCCAATTCCCAGCAACCACATGATGGCTCACAACCATCTGTAATGAGATCTGGTGCCCTCTTCTGGCATGAAGCCATACATGCAGGTATAACACCATATACATAAGAAATAAAAAAAATCTTAAAAAATTACGTCAATAGCAAAGATTTGAGAAGAGATTTTTTTCAACACTTGGTAAGAAGCCAAGGAAACTATAAGGAATGTCCTACTTGTTCTTTATACAACCAAACTCCACTACCTGCAGGAAGTAACCCAAGGAGTACTCAAAGGAATGAAATCTGGCAGGTGGATGTGTTTCATTTTGTAGAATTTGGAAAATCAAAATATGTACACCACACCATTGATACCTATTCAGGATTTCAATGGGCAACTGCTTTGAGTTCTGAGAAGGATGATTCTGTAATCACACATTTGTTAGAAGTTATGGCCATCATGTGTATGCATGTACAAATTAAGATAGACAATGATCCAACATATGTCTCTAAGAAAATTAAAGAGTTTTTTTGCTTATTACAACATAAAGCATATTACAGGTATACCACACAACCCTATAGGGCAAGCATGCCACAGACCACCCCAGATGGATATGGGGGTCCCTGGGATGAGGGTTCTTGAAGACTAGGTGGGTAAGGTTTTGGAGGTGACAAATAGAAACAAACATAGAGGCAGTTTTAATCTGAGTGTATTTTGCAGCTTTCAAGCAAGGCTTTTTATCCAGGATAAAGAATAGCTTCTGAGAGATTGTGTTCACTGAAGCAAATCCAGATAGAATAAATGACATCATCGTTGTTAGGTACAGTAACCTACAACTTATTTAGAGCTTGAATGATTTTCTAATTTATTGTCAGCTAGAAGGA